AGGAGAGAGAAGGGGAGTGGAATGACAATTTTCAACACACACACACTCATCGCTCGCTCAATTCACTCAATCACTCACTCACACTCACTCACTCACTCTCATCACTCACTCACGTCACTCATCATCCACACAACACACAACACACACACCACACACAACAACACACACACACAAGGACACACACGACACATGATGATGGGACACACACAACACACACACACACACAGGCCAGCTTCTCAGGTGCACTCTCACACTCAATCCACACTCACTACGGTCAACAGACAGAACGAAAAGAAAGCACAGTATAGATAATAGATTTTATAGATTCAAATCCTAAAAAAAAGGGCGCCCGCAAGAATGAATGGGGCGTGCCACTCGCCGCCCTCCGACCCAAGGGGCAACGTGAGCCACCCCACCCCATGCCCTGTCCTCCAGCGCCACCTCCAGCCATCCGAAGAGCATCCGGAAGCCGCCCTACTAAACGCCGCATCACGCCAACCGTTGCAACGTGAGAAAACACCGCATGGAGCGAGGGCAAATGTGGGGCGGGATGGAGGGGGAGGGGTGGGGGTAGAGGAAGGGGTGGGTGGAGGGGTTGCATTTTCTTTCGGTTTTCGGTTCTTTTCGTCTTTATTTCGTGTGTATTTATTTGGTCTTTTTCTTGCTTTATTTCTTTTTTTACTCTCTCATCTATAACTGTCTATTTACCTTCTCTGCAATTGACTCTCTGTGTCCCTTGGCCCCTCTTTCCTTCTTCTCGACGCTCTTTCTCGGTCATCTCGCTATCTCCTCTCTTCCAGTCCTCTCTGCTTTGTCTCTTATTCTCCCTCCCAACCTACCGCCCCAACCCACACGGTCCATCTTTGGGGGTCGTCCCGTGCCTTTTAGGTCCCTCCGGCTTTGCTATATGCTCGCCTCTCAGTATCTTTCGCTTAGCGCTTGTTTTTCGCCCCACTCCTCCTTTCTCTTGGTTTCACTCCTTTAGGACAAAAAGTTGAAATCAGAAAGTTATGAATTCACAGAGTGCCAGTATGAAATATGAGGATCCTTGATATATGGGACGGAGTGGAGCCTTTGGTCCACCTCAGATCCTCAGATCCGGTTCCTCCTATATCATATAAAAAAAATCCGTCCGCGCTTCGCGGACTGCCTTTTGATATAATACCCGGGAGACGGGTTGAACTAGTGTTATTCAATTCGCTCATTCCTGTCCTTGGCAATGGCTCCTTCAACCGCCCTTCGAGCTACCGCCGACACCGTTTGAGGCATATGCGATGATGATGTTGCGTATAGACGAAAGTACGAGAAATTTGAAATTAATCGTTGCTTATGTCTAGATCTGAGGAGGGGATTACGGTGGACGCGTACGATTAATGAGTCGTACACTTACAGGAGATTGCAGAGGTTATAAGGCCCAGGGATTGGGTATCGGTTAATAGTTTGTTGAGACGAGGGAACGGTTAACCGAGAGTAAGAGACTTGTGTTGTGTGCTTGCGCGATATAGCACTGTGTCTGATTCGTCGCGGGCTTGGTCTAGATGTGTCGACAGCTGATTCAGGAGGGTCGACATATCGGTACAATGACTGCAGTATATCTCGCAATCACGGGATATGGAAAGCTGGTTCCACTTGATGTCAATCGCTCCCTCCCTCCTTGCCCTCACCTCACGCCCCCCTCACTCCGAGGAACTACGGAAGGAATGCCAAGTGACTGGGGGAGGGGGAAGAGGAGGGGAGAGGGAGAGGAAGGGGAAGGGAGGAGAAAGAGATAATGGAGGAGGTGAAGGAAATGAGGGGTAAGGGGGGAAGGGGAGGGGAAATAAAGGGGAAGGCGAGGGGATAATGAGAGAGCGGGCAAGACGAAAGAAGATAATGGAAGAGAGGGCAAAAGGAAAGGGGATAATGGAAGATAGGGCAAGAGAGAGGGCAAAGAGAAAGGACATAAGGAAAGAGAGGGCAAGGAGAAAGGATATAATGAAAGAGAGAATAGGACATAATGAAAGATAGGATAAGGAGAAAGGGGATAAGGAAAGAGAGAGGAAAGGGAGAGGGCAAGAGGGTAAAGATTAATGAAGGAAGGAGAGCAAATGAAAGAGAGGGAGGAAGGGGGTGACGAATAATGGAGAGAAAGGGGGGTGAGGGATTAAGGGAGAGGGGGAAAGGGAGACTAAGGATAATCCGAAATGGAATCCTGCGCCATTAGGGATTCGCGGACCAAGAACGCGTGATTTTTCTTTTTCTTTATTCCTTCTCTTTGTCTTTTTTTTCTTTCCCATTTTTGGCGATTTATTGTTTCTCAAAGTATGATTTTCCATTATTTAATTTATCAGAGATTCAATTAGTAGTTAAAAGATCGGGATGTGCTTACTTAGAATCCGACACCATTTTTGTGTTGTTGTTTTTTTTAACTTATATTTATGATTTATAAATATTTCAAAATTCAAATCTCTAAAAAAAAATGATAAAAAAAAGTTTGAATAAGTAAAAATCAAATTGAGTGTGCTGTGTATATTTTGCAAGAATTAAGAAAAAATAGTATAATCACGCATATTTCAAAACCAAAACTATTATTATTATTATTATTATTATTATTATTATTATTATTATTATTATTATTATTATCATTATTATTATCATTAAGTTACAAAAATAAGAAACAAATTCAAAATGCTGCGAAGACTTTGCAAGAATAAAAAAAAATGCATTGAGTACTAAGATTGCACGAAATCGGACAGAGGATAAAATAACGCGAAATCGGACAAGCGAAAATCAGCTGAAAGGCGGTTTTGCAACATTGATCGTTATTGCAATCACTCAGGAAGCCATTGGGTCTCTTGGGCAGGTCGGTGTGATTCCTCTCGCCTCTTCTCCCTCTCTCCATTATCTTCTATTCTCTTATGTCCTCTCTTTCGTTTTTTTTTTCGTAATTCCTGTTATCTTCTTTTCTGCTGTGTCTTCTCTTTCACTTTCCTATTTTCTTGCTCTCTCCTTTCCTCCTTCTCCCTTCCCGTCTCTCTGCTCCATTCGTTTTTATCATTTTCTCCTGCCTTTCCTCTCTTCATCTCTCTCTCTCTCTTCTCTCTCTCTCTCTCTCTCTCTCTCTCTCCTCTCTCCATCTCTCTGCTCTCTCTCTTTCTCTCTCTCTCTCTCTCTCCTCTCCTCTCTCTTCTCTCTCTCGTCTCTCTCTCATCTCTCTCTCTCTCTCCTCTCTCTCTCTCTCTCTCTCTCTCTCTCTCTCTCTCTCTCTCTCTCTCTCTCTCTCTCTCTCTCTCTCCTCTCTCTCTCTCTCTCTCTCTCTCTCTCTCTCTCTCTCTCTCTCTCTCTCTCTCTCTCTCTCTTCTCTCTCTCCTCTCTCTCTCCTCTCTCTCTCTCTCTCTCTCTCTCTCTCTCTCTCTCCTCTCTCTCTCTCTCTCTCCTCTCCCTCTCTCCTCTCTCTCTCTCCTCTCTCCCTCTCCCTCTCCTCTCCTCTCCCTCCCTCTTCCCCCTTTCCTCCTCTTCTCCCCTTCCCCTCTTCCTCCCCCCCTTCCCCCTTCCTCCTCCCTTCCCTACCCCTCTTCCCGCGACACACTGTCTGTACCCAAGGATTTGGAGCGGCGCTCTTGGTCTGCTTTCAAGATGGAGGGAAGGAGGGAGGAGGAAGGGAGGAGGGAAGAAAGGAAGGGATGAAGGAAGGACGGAAGGAGGGAGAGGAGGGGAGGAAGGAGGGAGGAGGGAGGGAGGAGGGAGGAGGAAAGAGAAGGAGGGAAAAGGAAGGAAAGAAAGAAGGAAGGAGGAGGGAGGAGGAGGGAAGAAGGAGGGAGGGAGAAAGGAAGGGAGGGAGGAGGAAAGAGGAAGGAAAGAGGGAGGGAGGGAAGGAAGGACGGGGTAGGGGAAGAAGGAGGAAGGAGGGAAGGAAGAAAGGAAGAAGGAAAGAGGGAGGGAGAGAGAGGAAGGGAAGAAAGAAAGAAAGAAAAGAAATAAGGACAGAAAGAAAAGAGGGAGGAAGAAGGGAAAGAAAAAAAGAAGAACGAAAGAGAAAGAAAGAAGAAAGAAAAGAGGGAAGGAAGGAAGGAAAGGAGGAGGGAAGGAATGCCCCATCTTTCTCGTGTGTCACATCGGCCTCATGTCACACCGCTCACGTGTCACATCATCCTTGTGTCACATCACCTTCGTCTCTCCTCCTCTTTGTCATGGCGCCGACAAACACGGCCGGAGTAACCTCGTTAGCACTAACTTTATTATTCTCTTCCTTGTGCTCTTCCCTTTCCTTTGGGTATGGGTGGGTAGGGGGAGTCTAGGGTAGGGGTATGGGTGGGTATAGGGTGAGGGTTTGAGGGGTCTAGGGTGAGGGGTGAGGGGTTGTATGGAGGGTGACGGGTAAGGGGGAGGGGAAGGGGGGAGGGGATATCTGCGCTCAGGGAAATTGGCTTATGTGTTTCTGTTTTTGTTTGTTTTTGTCCTTTGTTTGTTGGTTGGTTTCGGTATTGTATTAGTACAAAGAAAAATTGTGTTTGTTTATATAAATGTGTGTGTATGTGTATGTGCGCGTGTGTGTGTGCGTGCGTATGTATGTGTGTGTGTGTGTGTTTGCGTGCGTGTGTGTGTTGTGTGATTTTGCGATTTGTTGATAGTTTTATAAGGAAATTCCACAACCGTATCGACCAATGTCCATATATATCGTGCCATTTTTGTTACTCTTTTTCTCGCAATATTTGCTTCAGTGACTAGCCTTTCCTCCTCCTTCTCCACCTTCTTTTCATTCTTCTTCTTCTCCTTCTCGTTCTCTCTTTCTTCCCCCCCCTTTCCCCCTCACCCCTTTCCCCTCCTTATCAGCTCCTCCTCCTCCTCCCTCCACTTCCTCCATCACTCCTTCATCATCATCACCACCTCCTCCTCCTCCTCCTCCTCCTCTTCTTCATCATCACTCCTCCTTCTCACCTCCTCCTGCCCCTCCTCCACCTCCTTCTTCTCTTCCTCCATCTCCTCCTCTCATCATCACCTCCTCCATCTCCTCCACTTCC